TAGCATTGTGTTACTTCATATTCTTCTCAATGCAAATGAGTAGGTAATCATGTGTAAATCGTGCCCTCCAGAAGGCACATGTAGTGAGGTTTTTTTCCCCAAATCTACCACAGGGATTTCTCACATGGAACATAATTACATCTCTGCCATATGGGCTCATTTATATTCTATTACAGGTTAAGCTAATACGACTCAGAAATATGCTAAAAATACCTCAAAGTATTTTGAGCACTGTCAAAACACTTGTCATTTCTCTCTTGCCTGTTTGATTGTGAATGACTTTATATTTATTTAGAGATCCACAGTGCCAAGTAACTTCAGAAAAACAAGATCAGACCAGTCTGTGTTGCCCAGTGTCCAAAAAATACTTTAAATTTTCTCTCCTTACATCCTTCTTCAGTAATGGCAAATAGGTGGGTGAACAATGAGACAGAAAAGCCTCTAAGATGTATTTACATGCAGCAACACCTAAGTGGGTTTTAGATTTCCCAGGAGGAAAGGAATGTCTGTTTCAGTGATGTAGTTTTATCATCATTAGGCTGGTCTGTGTTTGATGTAATTACATTGTCCTGACAAAGCTATACTTGCACTTCAGCCATTATAAAAGTACAAACCTCTCTGCCCACAGAGGCAGGGCTACTGAGGAAATAACTGTTGCCTTGAAAATTTATGGTAGTACAGGAATAGGTCACCTTTAAAACTAGAGCCACTGAAAGTTATATGATATTGTTTTCAGAACTGAGGTACTAAATATGAATATGCTATTTTCCAATTTGAGTGTAAATATTTAATTTCACTACATGATTGTATTTGACAAGATTTTTTTAAGTCATTATTACTTCACTGATTTTTAAAAGTAATACCACTAACATCTCTGGATGAAGTCTGAGTCTACTGCAATCAATCTTAATTTTATTCCTTTTATTCATACATTCAGTATTTTGCCCTTTGAAATTTGATGAGGTTTTATTCCACTAGCTAAGAAGGAAACATGTAGAAAGTAATACACAGGGAGGAAGATTAGGGCGGAGGATGGGAGAGGACCTCACTGGACCTGCACATGATACTTCAGACAATACTTTGCAAAAGCAGTGGCTTTACTTTTGTTCCAAAGAGATGCCTGTAAGAAATTGGATCAGAGTTTTGAAAACAGCAGCTGTATGTATCCTATAACCAGGAGATTAAATTCGGTCCTGGTTTATAAAGTCCTTTGAGGTTTTCAGTGATGGAAAATTCTATGTAGCTATAAAATCCATTCTATAACTATGAAATAAATTGTCATACCTTTCTAGAATTGAATAATATATTTCAGAGTGTTGCTAGGAAGTGTTTGCTTTTTTTTGCTTTCTGATTTTATTATATGATAGCATAACCTTTTAGATTATTCAAACTTGAATACTAAACTCAACCTTTTCTGAATGCTTTTTGCATGTTTTCAGAGAACGATAATTATTGCTAACACTTTGTACTTGGACTTCTGTGCAACAAAATATGTAAGCAACTAATATTAAGTGTATGAAAATCCCCCTTGAAGTCAGACACTTCTGAGTTTTTCTGAATCAAAGCCTAGAAGCTACAATGTCTGTAATTGTGCAATAACATCAGACTCAGAGGAGAATATTTCTGTGATGTTTACCTTATTCTTTCAAAATCAGCTGACACAACAGGGTTTTGGTCAGAGCTATGCACTGGTCATTGCTGGATAAAGAAAACAGTCTGACTGTGCCTTTAATGTAGAAGGGGAAAAATTCAGTCCAACTACAAGTTTATTACCCAAGAAAAGCATATATCCAGCCTTTCCTGAAGCAATGTAAAGGACACTACAGTGATTTCATACATTGAGGAGGTGTTAAAAAAAGAGTGGTCTCCTGGGTTGTAGAACAAAGAGAAACAAATTTCAAATCTCAGACCTAGCTCCATTAACTAGTATTTTAATTCAGCTGTCACAGATGTTTGATTAAAGAACCTGCTATACAATTTCTTTTGCAAGTTCTATAGCCCTGATTGTGTGAAATCGTCCTGTGCCCTTGGAAAAACAACCTCTCCTTACATGCACAAAAGGGTGTCTCTTCACATAACAGCTCCACAGCTTGCTTCCTTTTTCTTCAGGCAAGGTTTTTCATTTTCATTCCACCAGTTCATTTATTGTAAAGTAACAGTGGTCACTGCACATAGTGCACTGAGATTGCTGCATTCATGTCATGGCTTTGTGCCCATCCCTGGCTGTCCACCACTGCCCATTGCTGTGGCACAGCTGGAGAGGGGGCACAAGGTGACAGGCATCCTGACATCCCCCTGTCACACCACACCATGAGCAGAGGCAGCTGGGGGGGCACCAAAGCAGGTAACAGTATTCTCAAATATTTTGGAAACAACCTTTCCAAGAGAGGGAGTGACTGCTAATGTGCCCTCCTAGAGTTCTCCTTTGTTAACTGCATGCTGGAAGCAGCAACATGGTGATATTTGCATTGCATATTTGTCAGCCATATGTCACTATTTCCTCCAGAGGGTGGGCAGCCATGGATTTTCGGCAGAGATATCTAGCTGGTGCTGTATGTGTACATGCTCAATTCTGTGTTCTGGGTAAGGTGTTTATTTGCAGTCAGTACCTGGATGGAAAGTTCTGGCCTGCACTGGAAATAGGTGCATTTCATCACGCATATGGTTTGCAGGAATAGGTAAATCAAGAGCTTTTGTATAAAGCTTTGATTTCTAATATTCACAGTGATGCTTTAAATCAATCATTCCTGGATATATAAAGCATCTCATGATTAGGTTTGGATTTTCTTTGTCATTAGATGGATGAATGTGAATTTCTTTCACTGTCTAATGTGATCTACTGTCTGCTAATATCCAGCTCACTGAAACCCTTTGTAAATCACTATAGTTTGCATCATCTGTTTGGCTAACACATAGTGTCTGCTAACACACAGTGTCTGCTTTCCAAAACTGTGTAGATGATAATCTGTTTTAATACCTGTACAAATCAATTAAATTCATTTTGTGCACCGTTCACTGTCTGCCAAATTGGGTGGAGAATAGAAACACTTAGCAGGGGAATCAGACTCTACATAAATGTGCATTAGATGAGCCTTGCAATCTGAGTGGGGGAGGATGTGAAATTTAGCATTTAATTTCCTCATCTACAAACAGATTTTAAAAAATGGCTTCCAGAAACAAAAATATAGGGCAGAATTGTGGAGCCCTTACTCATGTCGCTGAGCAGATTCCTATTGGATTTGTCCCACTGGAGCTTAATAATATCACCTCCAGGATGGCTGAAAGGATGCAGGATTTCTTGCAAGGCACTTTGATGCTTTGTCTACTGCAGAATGTAGGCAGCATATCTTCAGACCTCCTCATGGGACCAGACTTCTGACTCCTCTCTGCTGTTTCCGATCACCATTGCTGCAGTGCACTTTAGGGTCCCATAAATATCTAAACTCACTGGTGGCAAAACTGATGGGTGTGCTGGAGTACCTGATGGATTCTGCAAGAGGATTTGGGTTCAGTCTTCAATCCTGTTTATCCCTGCTTTCAAGCCTTCATTTTAAACTGTGTGAATTCCATCATTTGCAAAATGAAGCTTTCTTTAAATAAAAATTATCTGCCTCTATTTCCCCCTCACACCTAGACTCCTGTAGATAAAATGTTGTTGTGGTGGGAAAATTTAAAGCTGACTGTGACCATAATGCTTTTTGCTCACAACTAAAATCCATATTTATGCACTGACACAGATGGATTCAAGAATAAATTGCTAAACACATTTCAAAATATGGGGGTAGGAGGATGGAAATCAGTGCCAAGAAAACTGTTGTGAGGCAAAGTGTCCATCAAGTGAGTGATGCTAAACTTTTGCAGCACCAAACACTACAGAAAAGGTCGTTGTCAGAGAGAAGATGTACTGATTCATCCCCGTATTACAACAGGACTCCTGATTGCAGGTAGTTGAGGACGGTTTAAGTTTTAGAAAGAACAGTATAGCTATTATTCACTTGGTTACTCACTTGTGAAAAAAAATAATTTCCCTCCTCACATACACTCATAATCCTAGTTAAAATACTCCATGGTATTGGAGTCTCCTACTCCTTAGGTAGGAGACAATACCAAGCAAAAATTAGTAAGTATTTTAAGATTGTTCCTCTCAAAAGGGAGCATTATATGCCCATACACTTCTAGCTATTTTGGAGAAGAATTTTCTGGACAATGCTGAAAGAGGGCAGGCAAGTTTTTTATTTAAAGGTAAATGTACCAGAATTCTTTCAATTGATGGAGAATTTTTATTACAGGCATGGTCTGGTTTTCCACTAGTTTGTATCCTGCATGACTGTTTACACCAGTGAGAAGAAATTGTAAAGTGATACACATTTTTACTGTGCCCTTGTTTAGCAGTAACACACGTAATATGGAAGGTTATGCAGCATTCAAGATGTACATGCATTTGCCAGGATAATTATTATCCTCAAATATTAATGTGATTAGAATTTAAATGAGCAGAGGATTGCAGAAGCAATGTCATGTCTTCACCTCCTGGAGAGGAATAAGAGTTCTAATGTTGTAGCTCATGGCTCAGAAGCCAATGTCATATTGACCATGAAGCCCTCAGAGGACAATGACCTCCATCACTGCTTGTGTGAGCTGGACTTGACCTGGTGACCTAGAGGCTGAAAGGCCACACATTTTCTTTTATTTTGTGTGCCATTCACTAACAGATACTCTTTTAAATTCTAGCTTTATATGCTACATACCACTGAGGCTGAATGCTTTAAATGGAATTTTTCCGAGGGGACACAAGGTAACAAGACTCAGGTGTTATTTCCAGTTTTCCTTTCTCTTCCTGGACATTTCTGGAAAGTTAGAGACTCTATATTTTATTTTTTAATTTTTTTCTTTTTTCTAATGAAAGTGGATTACAGAGCCTGTCAAACACACAGAGCTGTTCAAATGATGTCCATGGCATTCACTCTGCTTCCTGGAAAGCTCTCTGTCTTACATAAAATACATTTCTTGTTACAGAGAGATCCTTCATGCCAAAGTAATTCAGTAGTCAAGTACATTCCTTGCCTCCACAATTTTTTTAAGCCTTTTAATGGGAGCATGAATCTGAAGAGAAGCTCTGTAGGCAGTCAATGTAGTGAGTGGTCAGCCAATGTTTACAAAACAATTCATGTCACTGATGGGAAAGAAGGAGGCTGAAAGTTACACTTTCTGTAGGCTGTCATTTTCTTGATGGATAGACTTGCATTACCATAATTTTTCATATGTGCAATTCATACATAATCACAGGTGTTTTTTACACATCTTTGCTATTTCTCATGCTTGAGTCAAAGTGAGTTCCCAGCTCTGTACATTCATCTACACTGAAGAGAACAGGTTGAACTCAGGTTGGAATTTAGCACTGTTTGTCCTGTCTCCATCAATATAAGGTTAACAGATGAAAGTGTGCACTTTGGCTACTGTTGCACTTTAAAAAAAAAACAAAGCATGAATTTTAGCTGTGGGATAAATTCACAGAGGAATGAGAATGACCCTTAGGATCTTCTACTGCAAGTGATATTTAAAGGATTCAATGCTAGTTAATGATCTGTGGTATGGTGACCCCATTTGCATGTAAGTATTCAAAGTCCAGAGACTTTCAGAAAGACCAGGGGCATGGATGTCTAGAGTCCTTTAAGGCATATGATGTGCAAGTAGAAATATTATGGGGACAACAAGACAAAAGCTAAGACAGTGACCCCACTGATTTATGGTTCTCAATACAAGAGCTGGACAAGAAAATTGCACTATGAGTCATCCTGACTGCACTTCAGGGCATGATGTGCTGAACTGACTACTAATGGCATGTTTTAATTCTGAGAATTTTGAGTCTGGGTAGTGATGGAAATAATCCAAATAGGGACAGGAGAAAGCTGGAGGTGCGTGGTGCACTGCAAGGTGGGTGTCCATGTCATTGACACCACATGCCTTGTGGTCCTGTGTTCCTGGTGGGGGACACAGCCCCAGTACCATCTGACAGCATGGGTGGTTTAACTGGCTGGAAGCAGTGCCCAGCACTGCCATATTAACAGCAATTCCCATAAGACTGACTTTTCCTGTTTACAGAATATATTGCTTTTATCTTCCAGACCAGATTGCTTTCATTTCCTGTAGAAAGGGAACTTAAAAAAAAACCCCAAACAAACAAAACCAAAACAAACAAACAAACAAAAAAGCAAAACAGAAAGTGAAAATCAGATCATTTATAAAGAAGTTGGTCAGCAAAGAGGAGGAAACCATCTTGCTCTAGTACTATTCTGCATCTGCACTGAAACACAAGACAGCAGCTGCCTTGGAGCTGCCTCCACAGCAAGGAGGCATTCATCTACATTTAAAGATTCAATGCACAGAAAGCAGAATGACGACATCTCTCATTCCCATGCCCAGCAACATGCACTGCAACGCACAGCTATGCTTCTTCTACAGTATCCCTTTATTTTCCTTTGCTTTTCTACCCCCTTCCTTCCTCAAGCCCATCTTTGAGCTTTGTATTTTCTTGTGTTTAATTTGGAATTTATGTTCTTCAGTGAACAAATCCTTCTCCCTTTGTCTCTCATCAGAGCCTTCATTGCTTTACATCCGCTGGGAAGAACTGATCCAGTTATCTCCCAGATTATATTTCAAGAGTCTGCAGGCCTGTCTTCACAGATAAACTGGAGAGCACCCCAACCAGTATAAATACAGGGCATAGCCTTTTCTGCTCCCTTCAGCAGCAGATGATGATTACCCAGTTTTGTTATAACATTAGTTGCTACCAGAGGGAAGAGTATGCCCTGCAATTCCCAATATTCAGTCATTATATGATGATTGTTATTGTCTTTCATTTTACATTAAAGTAGTAATTAGCCCACTCAGACCTTGGTATCTCCTGTTCAAACAGAGAAGGTGGTTTCACTCCCAGACTTCTCATGAACTAAATATAAGACTAGAGAAAATAGATAGAAATATAGAAAATACAATATAATAATTAATAAATAAATGATAATATAATAATAATATATATAAAATATATGCAGCAAGCAGCTCAGATATCATGGGAAATGGTTATTGATGCAACAAGTCACAGCAATGCCTTGTTATAATTTCAGCAGGCTCCTTTCTGGCTGCAGAAGGCAGAAACTTCTCTTGTTGGATTTTGTTTTGTTTGGAGAGTAACAAGCTCTCCCTTGGTCAGATCTATACTTTCCTTACACCTCTGCATCTGATTCAAGATCAGTGAATGTAACTAAGCATATCTTCCTGGAAGGGAGATACATTCTCCTTAGGCAGCAAACACAGTGTCTTCAGCAAAATGTTGACTGTCTCATTTCCTCTCAGTAGAAGTATTAGAGTAAATATAAAGCAGCCATGTCCCTGGACAGCGGCATGCTCCACTCAAGCAACACTTCTTCAACAGTTTCTGACATCTCCATTTTACTATCATCATGAGTTTTGTAGACTGGGACAACACTGCTAGCACCCTAGTAGTTCTGTGAATGTACTTAGGGATAAGCTGCCAAAGAACATCTTACTGCATTAATGTAATGGTGTGCACATTTGCTTTACTTGATCTCACATAATCCATCAAAATCTTCATGACTAGAAAAGGTTGAATCAGCCTTACTGACAGAAATTACATTCCCACTGTTATCTCCCTGACAAATCAACCACTTCACTGCTGAGGGGTCTATATTCCTTTGATTTACAAGGTGCTTGGTAAAATTGCACTTCCTGGGAAAGTGGATGTTTAAAACCATTGGTCAAAGAAAGCATCCAGTCAGGCTCTGCTTGGTGTTTGTTTTTGGTTTGCTATTCATATCAAACCTTCTGCTTTATTAGAGAGTGGCAGAAGGACAAAAAAGCAAGGAGCATTAAAAGGATGTGAATCTCATCTTCTTTTAAACACACCTTATTAGGGAGGAGATTGTTGTTTATGATTCTCAGTTTTTCAAAAGGAAGATAGATGTTAAACTCTAGAGTACATTCAGTGCCAGACACTGAAGTGACTGTTTCTCTCCTTCTCTTCTTCTCTCCATCAGACAGGTAAACTCAGGAACAAAGCTGCGGAATCAAACCATGGGATCTCTGTAACCAAGCCTCCTAAGGACTGCTCAAACAAACATCTGCCACAATGGGGTTAATATCAGCAGCCTGGCTTTGGATCTGGGGGCTGGACCTCCCCTTGTCCCTTCTGTGGTTACAATTGGGAGAGTTCAATTAATAATGCCCCCTGAATTCCCATGGCTACTTCTGTGTTCCTCACTTTGTCCCTAGCCTTAGAACGCCTGCCGTAATTAACTGTGTGCCACTGACATACCTTATGAAATAGAGCAGGAAGTCTTGGTAGTGAGAAAAGTGGTTCCTGCCAACACTGAATTTTTATCAAAATATAATGAAAGCTATTCTGTAAATAAATCCCCAGTTGCAGGTGCTGTGAGTGAGGATTTTTCAGTGTGAGATGAGAAGGCTTCAGGGAGCCTCTCGGACAAGGTTAGGGCTTGGACATTGCCTGGTCCTTGGCATCCTCAGCAACCCAGGGCTGGCACATTCCAGCTTAATACTTGCTTCCCCAGCTGGGAAGAGCTGTTTGAGGAGAAAATGGTACCAGAAGTCACATGCTCAGGACTGACATCCACATACACACACCCCTAGAAAATATTTGAAACATGCTACCTTAGACTCAGCCCAGAAGTCAGGGTAGGGTAAAGTGCCTTAAATACCCTTTCCTTCTCTTCAGTAAAGAAGCAATAGGAGAGCATATGCTTCATGTATGCCATCCACTACCTTTTCTACTGCTACTTTACTGCCCCCATCCATTTCTTGCCTGGGTTTCATGTTTCACCTGGTCTTTGCCAGAAAACAGTTGAAGAAAAGCAGGACTTCCATGCCTTTTGGTGCATTTTAGCTAACATATATTCATCACAACTGAACAAAAGTTGTCCTTTTTGGAGTTGAATGATCTTTCATGTCTAACATCCATTTTAATACATTGCAGTTGTGTTTCTCAAAATAATTTTAAAACCACTTAGTATGGCTTCACTGGCAGCTTTTCAAAAAAAGAAAGCTGTTTGAATGTTTAGAGGAAGAGTTACATTTCCTGATCTGATATTTTTTCAGTCCTCATCACAAACTATCATTTTTCTAACTCAGAAGTCAAGTACTTTAACTATTTAAACAGTGTTTAAACTATTAAAACTTTAACTATTTAAACAGTGTTCCCTGGACAGCTGGTATAATAGCATGAATAGAGAGCAAAACCAACAGAAATTGATCCAGGTCCTAGTTTTGTGATACATCTCTCATCCACACCTTAGTGTAAGATGCAAAAAGTCCTAAACAGGTCCTCTGGCACCATTTCAAAATAAATAAATGAAATTAGCTCTGTACCTTCTGTATTATTCTTATTTTACTAGTCTGATTTATTGATAACAAAGTTGAAATTGCTTGGAGGAAATGGCTCAGATTAAATTACTACTCAGGAAACCTTTGAGATACCAGCAGTCTCTTTGTTTGGAGTTCACACAGTGAAATGAAGTCCTGTACCGTATCTAGGGGACTTTGAAGCCCAGAGCTATCGCTAGCAAATGTTAGTGTTGTGAATCTGCTCTCTACCACCTGGGCAAAACACTCCTTCCCTGGCTTTCTCACTTTTGTTTTTCTCCTGGCTTATCACAGATAAGCTTTGAGTACCCTGCTGTGTCATGACCTGGATGGTAGAAGATGTTTGCAGGGAGGGCAGCAGCCTCTGGGCAGTGGGCAGTGGTTGCCTTGTTCCTCGTCTCTCTGCCTTCCCCTCACTGATTTCCAAAGAAGCCATCACCTCTTGCCAAGCACCATCCTTTAGCTTTTTCATCCAGACCACTTAACAAAATGTCTTCCTGTGGTGAGATGATTTACATGAGGAATTCTCTGGAGAGGGAATCAGGATAGCCCCTCACACCTGCATTTTGTGGCTGAAGACTTCAAAGCATGCTCAACTCTTTGCCTGTACTCCTTGCCCTGTCTTATTTTTGATCTTTCCCCTGAGAGACAGATCCACTAGTGATGGGAAGATAATTCAGATCATTTGGTCTCTTGGGATTCCCTCTAAGGGGAAGAATAACAATTCATCAGCAGCTTTCCTGATCTGCATAGAAAATTCAGGCTCCTTTTTTGCTGACCCTAGTGGCTTGCCACATATGGCTGTAAAACTTTATGCTCTTAATCCAGAAAGACAGTTGGAATTTTCAGCCATAGGCTGTCAAATGCCATATTCATAACACATTGGGTGAAATTATAATAGCAGAATAATTCTTTTAATGAGATATTTAAGACATATTGAACTAGAAGCTTTTGTGAAACAAATACATAGGAATTTTACAGCATCAGAGCAAGAGAACAGATTGTTATTGGTAATTCAGCAGACCTGTCCTAGCAGTGTTACACAAACACTCATGACCTCAGATTCCAGTGAAAACCACCAGGCCATTCATCTGGAAACTGATGCTGAAAATCTGCCACTTCACAATGCCCTTACAGTGGGACATCACTTACCTTTCTCTATTTTGCATAGCAGGCTTAGTATACGCAAAAAGTAAAATTACTATGTGAATGTGAACTGAAAAGGACTGTTTAGATCACTAAGTCCAGCTACTTGTTACTGCATTTGACCATTTAATAGATGCTCAGCCACAAAGGAGCCACAAAAATCTTGCCAGCTGCCTGTGACAACTTGCAGATCTAGAGCAAAAGGTCTGAATGCACTGTTATACATCATAGAGACAGCTGAGGGGATCAAGATTTTTCACTGCTGATTTCAGTTTTCATTAGCAGTTATGATGCTAGTTATTTGTCAGATGATCCTAACAATTCTACCACATTACCCTGCAGATAAAGGCAGATAATTCAATCACCCTCACCATCTGATTTTGGGGAAAATTCCTTTGCTGCCTCAGATCTGTTAAGTGACAGGTATAACCTTCTGGGTATACCTCAAAGGCACTTGAGATATTTGTATTTCCTTACAATCACCAATGTATCCTGTCCTGCCTCTGGTTGAGATCTATCTCTGATACTTCAGATGGGAGCCAAAAAAATCACAGCAGTGAAGTCGGTGGGAAGAAAGGAAATAAAAGGTCTTTTTAAAGGCCAAGGAAAATGTGAGGCATGAGATTACATAGCTGGGGTGCAAATGAACAAATGCCTCCTTCTTTTGAAGACAAAGGACAAAAGGACTCATCACAAGTTTAAACTTCTCAGCGTACCACTCAGTCCCATTCAAAAAGCTGTAAGACTCCATTTTACAATTGATGAGGGTTTTTGCATCTCTTGGCTGGTCAGGAGTTCAACTTGTCTTTGCTCATCAGCTGGAAAATATGTTCCCATAACCTATGAATCTGCTTTGCACTTTATTTGTTGTACTCTTAAGCTGAAGAAATTCTTTCTTTCTCTCATTATACAGGACAGACACTGTACCACTGTCACGCCTTTAGCAGAGTTTTCTTTCCTTCATCAGTTTTTTTTCAAAACATGCTATGTTCCCAAGTGGAAGCACACACCTGGCTGGTTTAATTACATAGAAGAAGACTGTCACCTGTTTTATTTAATGATCTGCTTCTATAAAGGTAGACATACTCACTCTGGAGGACCTTAGAGGCTGCTTAGCTGCTCAGATGTGGCCTGTGCCCATAAGGATGATTGTTAGACAATGTCCAGCTGTTCCCACTCGCACACACAATGAACACAGTCAGCTGTGATGCTCAGGACCTCGTCTCTCCGTCTTTGAATGAGAACAAGATGTTGGCTGACCTTTCCACAAGTGACCTGAGGTCCTTAATCAGGAGGATATCTTCCCTGAAAACACATACAAGCTGAGAAATAGTCACATTCACTGGTCATAAGCATAATAATGATAATTCAAATGTTTCACTTTGATTGCAAGTAAGAAGTATGCATATGCAGGTAGATACAAAGGCCCTGGTTTTGGGCCTTCCTAAAATAGTTCATAGAGTTAAAAAAAAAATAATAAGCTCTAGCCCAGTTTAATTAGCTTGGGTTTTTATGATGTCATGTCTTTAGAAATGCTGTAACAATCCATAGAGGAATATATTTTCATTATTTTTTCATAATGCTGTGCATAAGACAAAGCCAAATTTGAGCAGTTTTTTCAGTTGCTGTTAATAAGGGATGTAAGAGCCCAGTGTCTCTATAATAACTTACAGCTGTTGAGAAGCTATTTTAGTCAGGCAGTGCATACACCATGTTTAGAGCCTCCAAATACCTGTGGTCTAGCCACTTACTTCAGCCTGCTGAATATTTATCTGGAATAATCTACCCTTAGCTCCTCCTTCAGCCCCCTCCACCCCAACAAGATTCAAATGGAGAACCATTTAAACAAACCCTGACTCAGCTTCTGGGCTCCCTTGTGACCCTAAGCCAGAGCCTCCCCATAGCTTTGCCCAGCAGATTTGGGCAGGCTGTGGCAGGGGTGGCTGTCACAGCAGGTTCAGACCCACTGGGGCCAAGGGTTAGGGAAGTGTCACCAGCAAAGTGGTGGCTTCTGCTGGGTGGGGAGAGGTGGGTCCCCAGTGCTCAGCTGGGTGACCCCAGATGGATCCCAGCATGTAAAGTCTGGACCTCACCCACCCAGCATGGGCAGGAGGAGAGGGAGGTAACATATGTTTTATATATAGATTTATTTCTTTGTGGGCAACACAAAATTATTATTTCTTCCCTTTTTTTTTTTTTTTCTCCCCTTGCTAAATTAGGGGAAATTTCATATCCTGATATGAATGCAGCCTGGCACTGGATGTTTGATTATTTAAACATATTTTTTTTATTTTACAAAAAAATGTTTTCATTTAATTTGATCATTACCTCTAAAATTGTTTCATGTCTCTAAAATCTAAGTTAGTCTCATTCCTATAATGGAGTATATCTTTCTAACAGCCCCCCAGGTTAATTTATGTGCTTATTTCTACCAGTTATTATTTTGTTCTGTTTTTTTAAGGGAGCCAGTTCACTGTTTGCTTGGTGCAGGATTTCATAAAGCTTTTTTTGAGCCAATTCTTTTAATGAGCATTGGAACCAGTATAGGAAACCATGATAGAAGGTAAATCCCTTTTAAACAAAAAATATTACGGGTAAGTTATCTGCTGCCTCTGCTGAGGCTGGTAGGGTTGTTATGCTTTTGTATATGAATTGCTTTGGGATAATAATGTTTTCCACTTGCTTATACATTTTTCATCAGACAAATCAGGAAAAAGGTTGTATCACATAGATCTGTAACTGTAGCTGCTTTCCTGTCCTGTAGCTGCAAGGTAAAGATGAGTTATATTTTCATACTTAGAGAAAAAGGGTCACAGTTAGAGGGGGAAAAAGAGTATGAAAGTGCAAAGCCTTGGATATAAGTAGCTAGCCCCTAAAGCAGGTGCTAACAAGACCTTCTTGACAACCAGTGAGTTTTGTGCATAGCAGAGGAAAAGTTACAGCTGAAAGAAAAGAAACAGGCAAGGAATAGCATTGTACTGTATCTGACTGGGATTACAGCAGCTGAATGAGTCATTGTTATAAAATATGGGCAGCGGAGCGTCCTTTCAAGTCTCTCAACACAGACTGAATGCGGTTCTGACCAAGATGACAAAATTCATTTTGATTGAATAGTTGTCCATATTTTTAAATGAAATGCATGTGGGGCCATTAGCTCAGCTCCCCGTCGAAGGCGGCTGCGCCGCAGCCCTGCCATATGTTTGGCAGTGTTTGAAGCACCTGGCATCCTCCAGAACAGACAGCCACATTTGAATGGGGATAAATATTGAACTGTCTCACAGCTTTCTCTTCCAGCTCCAGGGTAGGTATTTTTTACATTAAAAAAAAACCCCAAACACAGAGCACAATACAAAAGGTTAGGCAAAAATTTATGTACATAGAGTGTTTTATAAAACCAGAAAGGAAGAGTAGGACAGGACTGGCAGGGATCCTGGACTCCTCCTGTGTCTGTGGAGAACAGGATGGGCAAGGACACAGATTTCTTTCTTTGTCTGAAGGCTTAAGGGACTTGAGAGTGCAAAAAATACAAATAATAATTTGTTCTTTTATTATGGATTTATCACAGTATTATTAAAGTTAATATACAGTTTCTCAGCCTGGAATAATCATTCCCACAAGTCCCATCCCTATCAAATTTTCTTCTCTATAATACCATTAAGAAACTGATATGCTTAGCTGCATGCTGAGATCAGTCATGTCCTTTGGCTGAAAGATGAGCAAGTTACTTTGTCATCGAATAAGGTTTTAATGTTTGGTGACCCATGAATCTGAATTTAAAAAAAATTGGAATATCACATGTTCTTGTGCTTCTCCTAGGCCATTTTTTGGGTTTATTTTTTTAAGTATTAACAGAGATTTATGGTATGTTTTGTGGTTTAAAGAGCTATTGATTACATGGGGCTCAGTTAGAGCAGTCTCAATTAGATCTGCCTCCAAAAGGTGAATTCAGATGGGAATAGGTGAAAGCAAAGACTAGGACAATACTCAGAGAACAGAAACCCCATCACATGACAGAATTAAAAAGGACTTTTCTAGTTTTATGTTGCAAAGGAAAGTCTTGCAGAAGGCACCATTTATTTCTCTAAGCATGTCTCCAGGAGCAAAAGGACGTTTCTTCTGAAGGGCACTACGACACAAGGATATAAACCGTGTGAATACATTCACGTTGGACACAAAAAGGCCTGGCAATGAAAGGAGCCAGAGTCTCAGCTGGACTTCTAGGAAGTTGCTGGGGCCTGAAACCACAGTTTGAAGCTACTTTTTTTGATACCTGTATTCATGAAGTGTAATGATATGGTTATCTACAGTGGCGGGTAAATGACTTTGATGAGTAAAGAAAGTGCCTTCTTTAATCAATTTATCAGTGTTCCTAATACCAAAAATGCCCTCCAAAATAGATTGATGAGGAATACTGAGGGTTTCCCAACATACTTGCTTGTCTGGTCATAGTGCAGCATTTATTCTTTTCTTTTAAATACAGTACAAAGGTGGAAATGAACTGAGTGTTTATGTTGTTTCACTCTTTCTGAGAATCATTTTCAGATCCCACTTGAATCATTTTTCTGCCTACAGCTGCTTCCACAAACATCTCAGTGGGTGGACTCCATCTAAGATATCCTTGTGCTTCTGCCAGGATTTCTTTTCTATTCCAACTCCCCACCTTTTAAAGAAATTATAAGTAGTACATGGCAATAATGATTCAGAAAGGATCCTGTCCTTGGGACATAGGAGTTTCTGACAGTGTTTTATTAGCTAATGTGGATGCCAGTTCTGTAAGAGGAACATTGCTGTTTATTTTTCTAGATAGCTACTATGATTGTTCTGAGTTTTTTGTTTATAACAGTAATCTTTGGTGATCCATATCCTATAGAGTGTTGAAATACAAATGAGCAAAAAACACAGCCATTTTTTGTGCTGTATTTTTTTATCTGAAAATAGGCAAAGGGCTGTAATTCAAACAAAAATCTGCTAAAAGGAAGGAGTTGCAGATCATCCACATTAACCATTTTTGGTCCAGCTGAGCACTAATGAGCATTACCATGGGAAGGTTTGTGTTGTCCACCTTGCTCACTGCTCCTCTTATGGGACAGCCTGCAGGAATGCTGAAAAAGCAGGACAAGAAAGGTGTAGGGACAACAGCACACTCATTTACTAGCACCAAGCACTACTAGAAATCCATAAAAATGAAAATAAAACAAGGGTATGGTGATGTGATAAAAATACAGCTCTGCACATCAATATGTTTCATTCATAAGAGGAGATTCAACCTCTGTGGAATTACACTGCTCACTGTGATGAAATGGCTCTTGCAATAACAAAAGCCAAGCAAGGTCATTATATGCATTTCCAAGTATTTGAAAAATAAAATGGAATGGCCCTCTTATCTAGATATGTTATTTTGTTTATTCTTTAGAAATTGTAATAACAGAAGCCTCAGACTGTCATTTTCTTGTCCTTATGGTACCAAAGAAGAAATATACCCTTTGAAAACACACCAAAATAAAAACAGCATGAAGGAGGAATTCCTGAGGCTGGTAGCCTGCAAAAAGAGCTAACATCTGTGTTCAGGTGCCAGGAAAAAAAAATACATGCCACACTGTCCTATCAGCTCTGCTTAAGCTCCAGCTCTGAATTTTTTGCACAATCCATATTTCATGTGGATAAGTCAATATCCACCATATTATCACACCATATTATATTATATGTATATATCAGATCACAATGTATACTCCATTGCTGCTATATAGTGCCTCACAATAAGGGTATTTTTTCTCGGTACAATAAATTACTAATACATTTGATGGAACATTTTCTCCATAATTTTTTCAAATCAGTATCTTTAAGGAAATTCAGGGGAGGTTTAGAAAGATTTGTATATTTTGTTAATAGTTTATGGGTTTCCCTGCTTAGATTCCTGGAAAAGACTAGGTGGAGAAATGCTTCATTGTTTTGACTCAAGGTCTTTTGGTTTACAAAGCAAAATGCTGATAAAAACTGTGAACTACTTCAGTAATTGTATGTAAAGTCTCAGATACCATCACTGGCTTGAACATTTTTGATTCCTCCTGCCTGGGTTGGCTTCCAGGATGTGTGCTGCTTCTCCCTGGCCACAGCACTGCTTTATCTTTGTTCTGCTATAGTTAAATTGCTACCTGGGCATGTTTGTATTGTTGCATGGGCATGGTGACCTTTGGTAGTAAATCATTTTGACTGGGCCAGATTGGGTTGAATGTCAAGAAACAAACAAATGCATCTTTGTTTTCAATTTAAGAGACACAGCAATTTAAATAAAGCTGAGTTGCAGGAAAGCAGACTGTGTTTATATTTCATTACCCCAACTTTGATATATTGAGATTGTGAAATTTGCTTATAATATATAAAAAGATATTTTTAACATGGATTTGTATATGCATGTTTGTGTATGTGTACAGCAAAACTCATGCACAAATAGATATGCATTATGTTCATGGTAATAATAATATTAACAATGGTAATAATATAGTTCTATCATTATATCCCTATATCATCAATATATAGCTCTATCATTATGGAAACATGGGGACATCTATCCTAAGTCAGTCATGTAAGTCCCTCTGAGATTTTTGGAGAGACAAAGCCAGTTCCAGAGAGTGATCTATACTCATCTGTTCAAAATGAGAGGTTGCCTGCTGATAAATCCTATGTGACTAATTTAGAGCAAACACATAACATTCAGAATGCTAAAGTTAGGGACAGGAAACCCAAACCAACTGTGTTCCTAAAAGAACACTCTTTTGTGGAGCTGACCGATCATGCACCACTTCTGGTTCCTACTCTTGTTTTTTGTGGTGGTGATAATAGTGATGGTGGATACCACCAAGTTAGAAAATATGTTTTCCACTTTAAATTAGAAAGTTTTGTGGGTTTTTTTAATGGTTATGGTAGTTATTTAAGAGGAAATTGTTCATGTTGCCAATTCATGGGTTTTTTTTTGTTTGTTTGTTTAATTTTGTCCTTAAAAATATCTTTGAAGCATGTAATTGTATAAGTGTGACTTGATCACTGAAATCACTGGGTGGACTTGAAAATCATGAGGGCAGAAGGAAATGGGAGGAGAAGAATTCATGAGATCTACAGTAAAGAGAATTATTAATCTGCTGAAATATGTGCCTCTGTTACTATTGGCTCTGTGAAAAACTGATTTTACATGTTATAATGTGCCTCCTAAAACTGAAAAAAAAAATAGGAATGGGTGTGGAAACCTAAAATTGTACAGCATATGAACACTTCAATCTCTTAAGAAGTCATGTGTAGGATAAAAAGTAAATTAGATCTGGGAGAAAAAATGCAAAGCCATAAGAGAATCAAAATTAAAACCCAAAAAGCAGTGTCCTGGTTTAATGGTGAGATTTGGCAATAACACCTCTGGGAGCTTCTGAAAGGAAAACTCAGTATCTTGGCTTAATGTATAGCACAGAGATTGTGTTGAATATAAATTTTATCTCTGCCTTTCCAGTACATTTTGAGAGCCAAATTACAGCACTGTCTGAGAGAATGCTAGTATTTCTCTACAGTGATGGTTTGAATCAATAGTTTATGCTGTAAGCAAGGGAAATAATTCTGATGAAGGTCTTTGCTTAAGTAAAACAAGTGAAGAACATGCTGTGTCTAATTCAGGCTTGGTCCTGAGCTACTGTAAAATAGCATGCAGTGCTTTGCAAAATTTGAAAAACGTGGTCAGTGCTCCAAATGAAGTGGTGACTGCACTTTTGGAGATAGTAATAATCTGGTTAAAAATCATTAACTAAGTTAGGACCATTTTGCTGTTATCTTGGATGAGAGGGTTTAGGGCCATAGTAATTTGCAAAGCTAATCTAGTTCAGTGATCCGCAGGCTGTGACCTTTGACAACCCTCCTGGTGGTGGGAAGAATAGAGCATCTGGATGCCAGGAAGATAAGAAGGTTGGGAAGGCAGCTGGGTCTGCAAGAAAAAGCAAGCAAACTCCATTCTGTGAGGTTAGTATGTGTGTCTTTTGTTTAGTTAGATGATGGATAATTTGGGTGCATTAGCATCTAATTTTTGAAAGTTGCTCTTGAATTAATATGCTTCAGTTTCACAAAGGCCAAACTGAGAAACTGTGCCAATTTTCATAGCTTCAAAGTGATATTGCTTTCTAAATTAGATAAACAGAGCTTCCAAAAATTATGTCAACTATGTGTCAAGTTGGCATGAGAAAAAGAGAAACACCCTATGTCAGTGTCATTGAAATAAACAAGTTAACAGTTAGTCGTAAAGGCCATGATGGGAGTAATTTAGGAGAATATGAGTTCCTGACTCCGGAATTCCAGTTCTCTGACCCAAACAACAGCACTCCCACACACTGGGGAATGTGAGTATGAAATAAGCATGGGAGTGCCAAAGCTGGAAAGCTGTATCAAAAAAGGCCAAAGACACAGGAAACTGCAGATTTGGATCTGAATTTGAAATTAACCACTCTGGCCTCTGTCTAAAATTGTCTGACTCCCCTGAGTTTTGGGTAGAGCTCAGCATCATATGGCAGGGAAGTCATGGAGAGAAATGAAATGACAATAGACAGCCAGGATGGCAAGAGGGGTAGTGCTGGAGCTGAAAGATACTGCTGAAGACAGGGATTGTTTTCAAGGCAACTGGATGCAGAGAAGGACTTGGAGAATTGGGAGGGGATGAATAGAGTGGAAAGAACTTACATTTCATGATGGTTCTCATATGCCATCAAAACATTGCTCAGTTTAAGTGATTAAGGCAAGTTTGGCACAGAATTGCTCTAAAATGAAAATATGGAAAATGAATGCTGCTTTTAATTTTGCAGAAACGAATCCCAGAGATTATTCAGATATCAGTGTCATTTTTTAACCAAGCTGCTCTATTCTGAAAGCATAGATATCTCTCAGTCTCCCCAGGGAGATAAGTTTCCTCTTTAGTCTGGTTCCAATCTCAGGAAAAAACAGATAGAGATATGAAATACAAGTTGCTTGTATGAACAACCTCATGTCCAAACCTCTAGAGTTTTATCCATCACTGGTGATATACAGTCTTAAAACAAAACCCTTGTTGGGGTGTAGAAACAATTATTTACATTTATTGCTGCTTTGGTATACTGACTTCACTGAGCTAATAATAATAATGATGATGATGAGAAACTTCAAAAGATTTATGGAGGCCAAATACTTGTTTCTTTTTACTAAGGTCTTCAATGTATCTCTGCCATTTTTGGAAGCCATCGTTTTTGTGAAAATTATTTTTTAAAGGCTTTTTTTTAACTTTGTTAATGGTCTTGGGATTAATACAGCTAATGAGATAGAAAAAGATCTTTATGTTTTATTACAATTGGGGATTATTTGAGGAATACTTGAAAAAGAAGCCAGCTTTCCCCTTGTTATTACCAAGTATGTCCCTCATGGTTTCATGAAAGATGCATCTTGCTGTATAAAAACCAATCAGATGAAGTGCTCTGCTTGCAACTGTGATTGTTATGGGGAGTGACACACCCTCCAAAGTCAGAAAAAAGATTAAAGAAAAGACTATCCCAAATTCTTTTAAAGGTCAAATGTGGATTCAGGTTTGCAGCTGGAAGCCAAACGCAAGAGGACATCACCATGGAGTCCAGGAATTTTCCATTTGGGATCTCTATTTTGCAGCAGATTCATCTCTCTGTAATGCAACTACAAGCAAACTTTGACACAAATACCAAAGAGAGAGAAAAGATCCAGATCCATATCTGAAGTTTACATTTGCCTCATTCCTGGTCTCCTGATAGAGGGACAACCATAACAAGTGCAGTTCTTAGATGATCTGGAGCCAGTGCTATGCCTTCTCCCTCTTTTATTCCTTTTCCCCTTATTTTCTTTCAATCCAAGCCTGGCTGAAAGGTATGACTCTTGCTGTGAAAACAGTGTGTGTCATCAGATTTCTTAACAAATTTTCCTCCATGATTTATGGTCATGGAAAGGAGTCTGAAGAGTTTTTGAAAGACATCCTCCTTAGTCCTTCCTTCGATCCTTTTGGAAGGCTTAGGACAGAAAAACAAGACCCTTGAGAGAAAAATAAGAAAAATTACAGGAAATTGTTTCTTTTAGAATAAAAATAGAGAAAAGGACGGAATAATGTCTAAAAAGATGTTATTACTGATTTAGTTTATTGCTGCATTTACAGTTTCATTTCAGTGGTTTAAACCACATTCAACAATGAGCAGTACTCCCAGTGAAATGATTAGGTATTTCCAGTGCATTTATTCTCTAACTAAGCTTTCCAATGTTATGGCAACTATAATTCCAATATTTTTTGGGCCAAATTTATTGCTGGCATATAATACTTCACTGCATGTATTACATTACTGTGAATGCATGTATGGGGATATCATGCACATTTTCAAGTTTTTCATTTAGAAATGTAAGGTTTTGTATTAGAGCTCGAGATACCAACTGTTTCAGATCTGTATGGTTAACATTTCCTTTAGTTTACAAGAGAATATGGCAGTGCTCTCCAGTTTATTTTTCCCCGGTCTATTTCATAGAGGAACTGTCAGGGAAAATTACTTTTTCTTTTATGGGTAGAAAGCCTCCCTTTAAAGCACTGTTCTCTACCTAATTTCATTTTTTGAAAACATATTTTCTGTGTTTTCTGCCTATTGGTGTATTCCTCATCATTAAAGGAAAAAAAAGTTACTATGTATATTTCAATCTCTCCTCAGATTTTCTATTTTCAAAAAAAGAATGAAGAAAATTTGTTTGGTGGGTTTTTTTCATGAGAATTTTGTATCCCTAGCACATACAAGAAGTCCAGGTCTCCCTCAGGGCCCACAGTAGTTTATTTAGAAAGTTAGCTGTTCATCTTTCAGGAGCCCTACAGTTATCTTTAAATACCATGTTACAACCAATTTCTTTCACCACTACCCAAATACTATAAAATTTGGGAAAAAACACCACCAGAACCTCAGTTAAGACAAAATATATGTGATCAACTAAGAACATTCTAATGGTTCAAAGAGGAAGAACAGTATTTTTTATGTTACAGGATAAGAAACTCAAGTAAAGGACTGGAAGAAACACCACATGGAGAACTTATCATATAATGCATTGACAGAATGGCTGGGTCTTGTGGCAATGGAGTTGCTGTTGAGCAGAAGCAAGACAATGAACAGATTTTCAAACTATTTAAACCTCACATCAAAACAAAGTAGTCTTCACACAAGAAGTCTTCACTGGCAAATGTAGTCTACACAATTGAGGTATGACCACAATTGAGGGTGTCATTTGGATTTTACAAAAAATCCTTTATTACTTTTCAGTTAGTGCATTATGGTGGGACAGAAAGAAAAATGTGCTGCTGCTGGGGAAGAGCACTACTGTCCATGGAACTGTATTTTTCTCCTCTCCCCCCCCCCCCCCCCCCCCCCC